CATCATCATTATCACCATCATCATCATCATCATCACCATCATCACCATCATCATCAGATCAACTTCCCACTGACTGGGGCAAGTCACTAAACTGTGTGCATCCAAGTTCTAAGTTCTAAGTTCAATGACATGCTCATTCAGATCACTCTTGACTCTGATACCTTCTGGCTCTCTCTGTGGTATGTTTTGCCCTCTCTATACCTTAGTCACAGAAACTCCTGAATCCCAGCCTGCTCAGAGCTCTGAGCTGCAAGTGTGCGTTATAATTAGCCTAAGGACAATATGACCAGAAACTGAAATCCTATGCAAATACACTGTGTAATAGTCTTTGGAGGAAAGGAGAAAATATCTTTGCATTACCTGCTGTTCGAGATTATCCACATGAGAGCGTCTACCCATCAGCGTCTCTAGCAAAGAGTTAACAAAAAGCTGATAATAAAATGCCAAGCTCTGTGTACCAGCCTGTCATAGTACCCAGTGTCCTTTTTGGATGGGAGAGCAGGACAATGTGAAATGAAAAGCTGAGAAAAATAACAGAAGTTGGGGATGAGGTGTCAGAGGAAGGCAGCCATCAAGTAACTGGAAGTACTGGGGAGAGGTGCGAATGAAGAATGTGGCCTGCAGTTACTCTAGTAAACAGGATTCACAGAACGCAACCATTTCCGTGAGGAAAGGTACACACACATATATTCATAAAGTATCACGATTCGATTATCCAACAAATTGATAGCATTAGTTGCCTCTATGGAGGAAAAATTTAGCAAAATTTACTGAATTCTTTACTCTTGCGTCCTTTTTGAGCCATGTGAATGCGTTACCGATGGCAAGATGGATTTTTAAAGACTTATTTCCTAGGGTGAGCAGAGAAAGAACCCGAAGTTGAGATCTGGGTTCTAGTTCTGAGTTTATCAGTATCAATCTGTGTGGTTCAGAGTAAACCTCTCCCCACTCTGGACCAGGCCTGTCCCCTGAGAGTGAAGGCGTCAAATTGCATCTCACCTCCAGCTCCTCCCGGGCTCTGCCATTCAGCCAGGGGCACGGGGCTTCCTTCCGCAGAGCGCCCTGCAGCTCTGGGCAGTGGGAGCCCGCCGCCCTTCACTCTGGCCCTGGGCCTCGGCCCCTGCTCTTCCCGCTGGTGCTCCTGGGCTCCAGTTTGCCCTCTTACCCCTGGGGTTGAGTGGAGAAGGGGCAGTGGAGGGCTAGAACTCAAGACAAATGGGGATGCACAGCAACGCCAGCACCAACCCCACGGCGGGTGGGCAGAAGTAAGGAGTGTGCAGCGAGCTACACCCAGCGGGGAGAAGCGCTCCTCGCTCTCTCTCCAACACACGAGCCTCCATCATGATGACTAGTCATTCGCTCAGGACCCGTGACCCTGCGGCAGGTCCTGTGACCCAGAGGCCACTGGTAGTACGGAGAAGGAGTCAGAGAGGACCGCTGGGCTTCAGGCACAGGTGGGGAGAGGACGAAGGGAAGGAAAAGAAGAGAGAGGGAGGCCGACTGACAAAGAGCCAAGGGCAGCACAGAAAAAGACAGACAAAGAGAAAGGAGACAAAGAGAGACCATGAGATGCACAGGCAGGCGCACAGAAGACCACCTGCCCCGTCCTGTCAGTGAACTTGAATGTCAGGAGTAGTGTTGACTCATCCCCGTGAGCAGCAGAGCCCTAAAAGAAAGTGCACGAGGCATTCTAAGCAGGGACACCAGGAACCCGTCGTTCCTGTCCCCTCTCCCCGCCCGCTACCTCCACTGGATCCCCGGGGTAAGAGGACAAACTACGTCCATCAGAAGTGAAGATCAGGGGCTGCAAGGGCCAGCCAGGTCCAGAGTAACTGGCTTGGGGGGCTTATCCTCCACAGGGCGGGAGGGTCGCTTTTTAAGGATGTTGGCATCTAAGGTCCCATCCCAGAAGCAGAACGTACAGGAGGAACAGCTGAAGCATCTGGTGACGTTTAGCCCGGAGGAAAAAGACGACCGTGGTAGGTAGCCCATGAGAACCCCTTTTGGCGCTGAAGTGCTCTGATTCCATAAAGTCTTTTGAAGTGCTCTCGTGTGAAAGGAAGATCAACCTCATTTCGTGCGGCTCCCGATGGACACATTAGGAGAAATGAGAGAAATTCACCAGGAGACAGGATCCAAGCTGACGAAAGGAAGAAGCGGGTGTTCCAGAATAGGACGGTGGGCTGTCCCTGCAGGGGTGGACGGAGGGGTTAGCTGGTCAGGAGCTGGGTTAGGTGGTACTTCAGACACTTTCCAGTGCCACACCCCTGAGGCATAGGGCTTGGGGTAAATAGAGACATTGGGAGCTCCAGGGAAGTCTGATGGAGCCAACAAAAGTGTCAGCTCCTAAAATTAGATGATAAAAACAGAAAATTGCACGGACTTAAATGGACCTCTTTCTCCCAACAAACTCATTTCATGGGAGAAAGAGCTGCTTATTAATGGTGGTGGTCACTGGCAGAATGAGGACCGGCTGGCCACAGGCCCCTCTGCCACTGCACGCAGGCACCACAAGGATGCCAGGTGTGGAGCAACAGATGTTTCAGGTAAACAAGGAAAGAAAAATGTTCTTAAAAGCTTATCATTGGGAGCCCGGCCAGTGGGACTCAGTGGTTGAGCGTCGACCCATGCACCAAGAGGTCACCAACTCAATTCCCCGTCTGGGCACATGCCCAGATTGTGGGCCCGATCCCCAGCGGGGGGCATGCAGGAGGCGGCCAGTCGATGTTCTCTCTCATCGATGTTTCTATCTCTCTCTCCCTCTCCCTTCCTCTCCCTCTCTCATATCAATAAAGAAAAAAATCCTTTAGAAATAAAAGCTTATCACTGGGAAACTGCAATGCTAAATTCCAATGTCCTGGTGGATAGGTTATGTGGTCAGCTCAGGCACTGCCTGGTGAATTTGTTTTTCCTGCCAAGTGAGTCTGCCAGGGTGGGAGAGCTAATTCACACGAGAGGCTGCATCAGTGTAGCTCCGAGAGCAAAGACGCTATGGGCTAGGGTTTAAGAGCACGGGGGATGGAGCCAGACAGCCTGGATTCGAAGGCTGCTCTCCTGCTCAGGTGCTGTGTGGCTTAGGATGAGTAGCTCAACCTCTCTCTGTAAGGTTCCTCCCCTTTGAAGCAGAGAAAACAATTATCTACCATAGGATTATTTTGAGGATGCAACATTTACAATAGTTATGACACTTGTTTTTAGTGCAGGTCACTTAGAAGAGGACCTGGTGCTTAGGAAGGGACTGCATTTCTTATTATATTATTATTGTTATTGATCATAATGCTTTTTCTAATCATCACCCAGGGATATGTTTTTATTGGTTTTAGAAAGAGAGGAAGGGGGGTCAGAGAAAGAGAGAAACATTGACATGAGAGAGAAATATCGATCGGCTGCCTCCTGGGCCCCGACCAGGAATCAAACCTGCAACCTAGGTATGTGTCCTGACCAGGAATCGAACCTGCAGCCTTTTGGTGTAGGGGACGATGCTCTAACCAACTGAGCCACCTGGTCAGGGCTATCAGAATACTTTGAAAGAAGCATGATGGAGAGGGGAAATCCTGGGCTTTGGAATGAGTTAAAGCTGAATTCAGTTCCTGCTCTCCAAGGCCTTGTTTTAACAACTGTAAAGGAGATGGAGGGACAGAAACCAAAAACCTCTCCTGCAGGTTTGGAATGAGAAATAAAATAAAATATGTTTATGTGCCTGGTTCAGTGCCTGGCATATAGAAATATTCAAGCCATCTTAGTTCCTCCCCCCTCCTCGTCACTGTGCCAGGCACTGGGTGAAGAGCAAAGGACATAAGTAGGACGGGGAGGTGGTCCCCATCCTCAAAGGGCTCACATCCGAAAGAAAGACCTGGACACAAGCAGTGGTAAGGTGCTGCATTGAGGGCTATGAGGGAGGCATCTATCCAATTACACCGGGCAATGCTGAAGCTGGGATTTGAAGAGTTGAACTTTACGGAGCTGGTCAAAGTATAGGTCAGAGAGGAGGTGGGGTATTTAGGCTGTGTGGGAAACACACTGCATATGTGTGACATCAAGAGAGCCATTGGTCATTGCTTGGGGTCACTACCCATCTGAGTCCACCCTGTATTTCTGCGCCAAGACCCCTGGAGCCTATGCCTCTCTGGAGAAGCAACTACCTGCGAATTGACAGGAAACCCCACAGCAGAGAAGACACCAAGAGCGACCAAAAGCAGTATGTGTACATTTCAAGGGAAATTTCCAAGAAAGGAAAAGCCTACAAATCAGACTGTCCGAAAGACCACGCTTAGTGCCACCCCAGAGTTATGATGCTGGAAGGCGTCCCATGATTGTCCTGGCTGTTTCATCCCTAACTGCTCTGAGCGCACAAGGCTGCCCTGTCCACACACCACATCCGAAACTCTGGTAGTGTCATCTGTCCCCGTGAGGCCTCCGTGAGTCAAGTATTTGGGAAGTATGAGTAGAGACCTACCTTGCACAACCTCACAGCAGCACAGCCATTCATACATACCACCCACTAAGTGCACACATAGGCACACACATAGGACATGTACACCATCAGACACGCAAATACACAAACCACACACACTCAAATAGCCGCAGCACAGCATGCACAATCTCACATTCATGAGATACATGGAAATGCCTGTTCACGCACTCGCGTGCACATCCTACCCACACTCAGTGCACCCACTCACACACGTGTTCAAATGCCCACACCACCCAGAGGTTCACTCTCCCACAGCCCATCTCACAGAGTCAGAAGGGCTCACACTTCTCTGCACATGGCCCCACGTAAACACAACGTTTCCACTCCACACCCCTCCCACCAGCCCGCACACCCCGGCACATCTGTGCGGTGCATCCCCCACCCGGCTTATTCCAGCAAGAGGCTTCCCGCTCGGTGTGCAGCGGCCACAGTGGCCAGGAATTAAAATGCAGCGAGGAGGAGCCGGGCGCGTCAGCACCGCGTCTCCAGGAGCGCACAGCCTTCGCCAGCGCCGCCCCGCCCGCCGGGAGCCGCGGGGCCAGCGAGCTGAGGAGCAGGTGCTCGAAGCCCAGCCGCGCCAGCGTCGCGCGGCCGCTGCCCAAGTTCGCCCGGGGCCCAAAGCGGGCCGGGCAGCCCGGAGAGGAGCGCAGCCGGCGCCGCCGCCACCGCGGGCTTGGAGTCTCGAGAAGAGAAGGGCGTAAGGAGCAGCGAGTTCGGGTCACCCCGGGAAGGTGTAAGCCGGGGCTCCGCAGTCCCCAGCTCCTGGCGCCGCTGGGGCAGGGAGAAGAGGCAGCGGACAGCGAGGCCCGGCTTCTCTGGAGACTCAAGGCACCCTGGAGAGCCGGGTGACGAAGCGACACTTCCCTCTGGCCGGCCTCCTCGACGGGGCCCAGCAGCCAGCAGCCTCTGGCAGGACGCCCTGAGAGCCCCCAGCCCCAAGCGAGAGCGGGCACCGCGCAGCGCAGGGCTCGGGCGCGAGACTCAAGGGGAGCCTTAGCTAGTCTCGGCGGAGCTCAGCCCAGGAGCAGTGAGAGGGACCTGGAGGGAAGGGAAAGAAGACAGCAGCCAACAGAGCGACCACTCACCCCAGTACACACCCACCCCACCTGCCGAGCCAGGGGCCGCGGGGAGCCTCTGGGGGCGCTCGTTCCCTGGCGACTTCTCTCCCGTGTCCCAACACCGCTGGACTACGGGCCGGGCTGCTGGGGTCCTGGGGAATGTCCAAATCAGGCATGGTGGCCAAGTGGCTGCTCTCCCGCGACCAGCGTAAGAGCTGGGGTTAGGCGGAGCAGGGGGGACTCCGTTCAGGGTTCCCCGAGGTCCAGGACGAAGGGAAGTGGGCGCAGCACCCAGGGACTGGAGAGACGGCGCCTGCCGGGGGCCCATGCCGAGGTAGTGGCCGGCGTCGGGCATCCTTCAGGAAGACTAGGGAGCAGGAAGTCTAGGGAGGCGCTCAGAGAGGCCAGTGCCAGCGGCGGCGGGCCGAGGCGGCGCTCAGTCCCGGGCGGGAGCCCGCGGAGGCGGCAGCGGCGGCGCCGGGCGGGCATGCCGCGCCACCGGAGCTCCTTTCGGGCGCACGCTTCCCTAGCGCGGGCTGCGCGCGGCTGCTGCTGCTGCTGCTGCTGCTTCTGCTTCCACTGCTGCTGCGGACTCCCATGGCGGCTCCGCCCGGCCGGGGCCGCCGCCGCTGCCGCCAGCCGCGGGCTGAATGAATGAGCCGGAGCAGCGGAGCCGGGCTGCCCCCGGCCGCGCTCACCGGCCCGGGACGCTTCCGCATGGCCCGCGAGGAGCCGGCGCCGGCGGCGGTGGCGGCGGCCGGGCAGCCCGGGGGTGGCAGGGGCGGCGTGCGCGAGCTGGCGCTGCAGGGGCCAGGGGTCGCCCGCAGGGGGCGGCCGTCGCTGAGCCGCGCTAAACTGCACGGGCTGCGGCACATGTGCGCCGGGCGCACGGCGGCCGGGGGCTCCTTCCAGCGGCGGGCGCTGTGGGTGCTGGCCTTCTGCACGTCCCTTGGTTTACTGCTGTCCTGGTCCTCAAACCGCCTGCTCTACTGGCTCAGCTTCCCGTCGCACACGCGGGTGCACCGCGAGTGGAGCCGTCAGCTGCCCTTCCCCGCCGTCACCGTGTGCAACAACAACCCGCTGCGCTTCCCGCGCCTCTCCAAGGGGGACCTCTACTACGCCGGCCACTGGCTCGGGCTGCTGCTGCCCAACCGCACGGCGCGCCCGCTGGTCAGCGAGCTGCTGAGGGGCGACGAGCCGCGGCGCCAGTGGTTTCGCAAGCTGGCCGACTTCCGCCTCTTCCTGCCCCCGCGCCACTTCGAGGGCATCAGCGCCGCCTTCATGGACCGCCTGGGCCACCAGCTGGAGGACATGCTGCTCTCCTGCAAGTACCGCGGCGAGCTCTGCGGCCCGCACAACTTCTCCTCCGTGAGTTGCCCATCGCGCGAGCCCGGCCCCTCTGCTTCCCCGCGCTCCAGTCAGAAGGTCCCCCCCCCCCCCCCCCGGGGCTGGACACCGGGCCCCTTGCAGTGACATCATGTCATGACCCACTGTTGGGTCTCCTGAGTCTTCTGCTGTCGGTTGTGGGAAGTTGAACACAACTGTAGGAGGAAGTCTCCTGCTCTTTTTTCCCCGACTCTCTCCCTCCTATCCACCTCGAACCCTCAACTCCGCTCCTCTCGGCCCCTTCTAGGAATACCAGGCCTCCTTCTCCAGGGCCTCGGCCCGGGACCCAAGGACTCCTGGCAGCTGCCATGTGTCTGTGTTGAAGGGTTGGGAGGAGAGGGAAGCATGTCTTAAATGTGAGCTTGTTGTCTTTGGGAAAACCAATAGGAAGCTCTTCAAGAATGGGCAGTGGGAGAGGCTCGCAGAGGCCCTAAAGCAAGCTTGCCAGTTCCAAGACCCTCGGGTCTGGGAGAACTGTGATGGAAACTCCCAGAGTATTAACACTGACGCTGCTATTAGTTTGGCTGGGGAGGCAGCCTTCCCTTCTGCTACTTTTAAAAATTGTTTGTCTCACGCATACAAAGGAATTGGGCGTTGGTGGGCACTGGCGGGCTCCTGCCCCCACCAGGTGTGAGTGCGGGTCTGGGCAGGCGGAGGTATTGATGGAACAGCTGGGGCCAGGAGAAGCTGTGCAGGGGGTTGTAAGCCATTTGCTGTGCTGGTTCCCCCATGCTGTGGGTCTGGATAATGCAGCTGTCAGACAGAAGGTATCTGCCTTGTGCTGTTTGCCTGGGAGGAGTTGGGTGCCAAGCCCCAGCATGGAGCGAGTCTGTCCAGCCATTCATGTGTAAACAAATGCCTCTGAGGTGGGTTTGGGCTTGTCCACCGATGCAGGGGATTTTGCTGTGTGTACTTATTTGTAGAGCTGTGATGGTGATTTTACCAGCCCTCGTGCATCCCTCCTGACAGCATCGTTTCTGACAAAGCTTTTTCTGGGAAGGTAAAGAGATGCCACCATGCCAACAGGTGTCGGTACACCAGGCCAGACCTCTGATTGGCTGATTGGGCCAGTCCTTGTCTAGAATGGTAACCCTGGCTCTGATCGCCCTGTTTGGTTTTCAGCCTGTTTGTAGAGCAACCCTGGATTATTGTTTTCTGGACTTTTTCCGTTGCCTTTAAAGAATCCCTACCTGGTAACCAACTTACCTTAGCAAAGCAGGAGATGCCATGAACAGTTGCTTCTCAGTGACTTCCTCCAAACTTCAAACACAATTCTGAGTTCCACAAAGATGAAAGAATGAGGGTAGTGATGCCTTTTTGTGTATTGTTTATTTGTCTGAACCCTAACTAGCAGCCCCTGGAGTTACACTGAAGTTCAGTGTTACATTCAGGTACCTGCAGCTCCAGGTTATACAGCACGGCCCAGGTTATGCAGTTCTGCACATCTGACGGTGGCTTCCCGTGTGCAGAATCGCATGCTGACCGCCAGTGTTCACCTCCGATATTCACCACAACCCTGCATTAGCGATGACTTCTATTCCCATTTTAAAGATGAGGCTCTTAAACCCTGTCTAAAGCTCAGGGCCAACAAGTTCAAAGTCCAACTCTGCATAGCATCAAATCCATTATACAGAAGCCACATGTAACCTTCCTCTCTGACCCTGGGCTTCTCTTCTATCAGAGGATCCCTAGGTAGGAGTCTTGCCCACCCTCAGCCCCACCAAATCCTTTTCCTCCTAGGAGCGGGGCTGGGAGAGTCAAAACTGGAGCTGCTCCAGGGGTCGAGGTGGCCATGTCCTCAGCCACATGTTACTGGACCTAACAGCTCTGCCTGCAAGCACACCGCAGCTTCAGGAGCTGCCTGACCCCAGCCTCCCAGCAGGGCAGGTATGGCCATGAGTTAAAGAAAGCAGGGTTCTTCCCACTGGGCAGACCCTTTTCTTCCCTCTCTGTGCCTTGCTTTCCTACATTGGAAGAGTTTGTAGGCACACACCCAACCACGCCAAAGTATTACCTCCATTCCCCAAAGGTATGTGTTCCTGGGGACTCAAGTGACCCCCTTACTGGCTTCTTATCATGGCTTTGTCCTGGGAGTTTCCAGCCCCTTAACATTTCATGCAGTAGTTCTCTTGTGTGTGTGTTTTTTCCCAAGGGCCTCAGAATTAAAGGTTGTACTCCTCTATCTGTGGAAGCCAGAAACTATTTCAGGGGAGCCCCAAATACAGAGTGGACCCATCAGGAATACCTTTGTCTAACCACACCCCCCGTCTCAAGCCTTTGTCATCTTTGATGGAGTGCTACTGTAGTGTAGTGGTTAAGAGCATGGATGCTCAAGCTGCATTGATGGTTCAAATGCTGAGACTACCAGTTACTCTGTGCCCTTGGACAAGTTACTTGATCTCTCTGTTCTTCACTTTCCTGCTCCATCTAGTGGAAGTAGCAAAAGAAGATACACCACACACACACACACACACACACACACACACACACACAGTGGGGAGCTCTTAAAACTGTGCTGGGCCCCCATAAAAATGTTGCCTTTAAATGGTATTGGCCTCCTAACTGACCTTTGGCCTCCAGCTTCGTACTCTGTCCACTCTGCAGCCATCCTCTGCTCTACAGCCACAATGGTCTTCGAAAGCTCCACTTTGAGCATGCTATTCTGCTTCTGAAACCCTCCAGTGGCTCACCTGTTCTCAGGATGAGGTCCAGTTCCTCGGCTCTGCACCGAGGCCCTGCCTTCTCTCCTGCTGGGCCTTCCCACGCACCACACACCCAAGCTCTGCAACAGCTGGACCCCACTCCTCAACACTGCCTTGTCAGCCCGGGGACACCTACCCCTCTTCCAACACCCAGTCCCGGGGCTGTTTCCCGATCACCCCATTCTCCTCTCTTCCTCCTTTTCCTCCTCTACCACCCGGTTTAGGCATCGGTCCACTGGTCTGTGTCCGTCTCCCCTCCAGACCCAGGCCGGATCATGTCTGATGTCTCCGCTGTCTCTTCCAGCTAGCACAGAGTCTGATTCTAGGTGTTCAGGAAAGGCTGGGGAAGGAATATCTTCACCGGGTAACCCCAGGGATTCCTGTTGTCCAGGGTCACCCACGCCAAGACTCTTGGCTTAATTTCTCTGGGAAATACCAGTGGGGTGCATTGCTAATGAGTAAATGCCCGAACAATTTGGGGGCATTTATTCCTTTTGATGACAAAGGGGAGCAGGATGCCAAGCACTTCCCAGACACCTGTGCTTCCCAGGCCCTAAGAGGACTAGTGCAACAGGTGAGGAGTGGGCTCCCCGGGACACCTTTGGGGGAATGTGCCAGCTGTCCCCACGGTCTCATTGCATTCAGGTAGACTCATGGTCTGGAAATAAGCTCAGCAGACGAGAGAAAAGCATTGTGGAGAGGCAGCGGTTGGGCTCCCCTGAGGCCCACTCAGGATGGTTCTCCTCCCAGCTCCTGTGCCCGTGTGTGCAGCTGTGCAAGGGTTAACCACTCCGCACTCAGACGAAGCCGCTGCTGCTTCTGAATACTGTGTGGTCTCCCTGGCATCAGCCGTGGTCCTCCGGCTCTGCACGCTGGGCCCTTCCGGGTTTTCCGGGGGGCAGAGGAGAGCAGCCTTCTCAAGAATTGGGAAGGATGCAGAACTGTGAGGCCAATCTGTGTGGGTCCTGGGGCCTTGGAAGAGGGACTGAGGCGGAGAAGGGCCAGCAGAGGCTAGCCACGCCCACTGTGAGAAGAGGGAGCCGGCCCCTCTCTGGGAGGAGGTGCGGTTCGGTTCCGGGGAGAGTGTGGGGAGACCTGGCTCAGGGCTTTGGCTCCGCTCCTTACTAACCTTGGGCAGGCACTTCACTCTCCACGCCTCCGGGAGCTGGGCTGAAGACAACCTATACGCAGTGACCGGCTCACGCTGGACAGCAGTAGGTGCTTGCTATTCCAGAGTGATTGTTACATTCCGGAGACAGAGACCGACACAGAAAGAGTCTTTGTATCTGGTGGTGGCACTTATTAATTATTATCAATGTAATTATTGTATCTTATCCTCGCCACTTGCCTGAGTGAGGAGAGGCTCATTTTCTGGTTCATTTATTCAGTCAATCGGTGTCTACTAAGCGTCAACTGTAGGCTAAGCTCTCTACTCACTGCTGGGGATGTCAAATTAAACAAGGGTGGTGTGTTGCAGGGTTGTTGAGAAGAGACATATGTGAGCAGTTCCAGCAGAGCAGCGGCACTCTGCGGCCTCGGAGGGCCCCCAGGCAGGGAGGAGGGAAAGGAGACTTTAGGGAGAGAGGACAGCATGTGCAAATACATACAGGGCTGTGAACTAGGAGAACGAACACACGCTTTCTAGGCCCTGAGAGCAGTTCGCGGTAGCGGGGGGCAGGGCCGGAGGTGCTGAGGTGGGCAGAGCTAGGGATGGTCCTGCAGCCATATGATAGACACCTGGAAGCCAAACTGAGTGTCTCAATGTTGTACCGAAAGCTCCGACTTCCTTCCTACGGGCTGTCACACTGTGGAAGAAGACCTCATTTATGCCCCAGCCCCCCAACTGCCACCCCCATTGCTAACTCCATCCGAGGCCACTTCTCCCTAGACCCCTCGCCCATGTCCTTCCCCCATTTGCAGGGATCAACCTGGAGTCCAGATTTGGGACTAGTCCTACTTGAAAGACAGCGCTTGGTTTCGTCACCCGTTGTCCCAACAAGCAAGCTGACGAGCACAGGGACAGAAAACAAGAGATCGTTTCAGCAGCCTATTGTTTCAGATCAGCAAATCCTGCCGCAACGGTGCTCGCCGAAGGAGTCCAGTCGTCGTGAGGATGGATGCCCTTAGGGAGGCAAGAAAGATACTTTTGCCTTTAGAGAGAGAGGAGTCAACAAGCTAATACATGTAAAGTGCTTACAACAGTTCCTGGCAACAAGTAAAGATGCAATAAATGTGAGGTATTTCTGTTACCGTTATTTGCAGTGAGCATTCCCAGGGAAG